GTCAACATATGAAAACACATGTATTAACTATCCCAATCTATCAACATATGAAAACACATGTATGAAACATCCCAATCTGTCAACATATGAAAACACATGTATTAAACATCCCAATCTATCAACATACAAAAACACATGTATTAAATATCCCAATCTATCAACATATGAAAACACATGTATGAACTTTCCCAATCTATCAACATACAAAAACACATGTATTAAATATCCCAATCCGTCAACATATGAAAACACATGTATTAACTATCCCAATCTATCAACATATGAAAACTCATGTATTGAATATCCCGATCTGTCAACATATGAAAATACATGTTTTAACTATCCAAATACATCAACATATGAAAACACATGTATTAACTATCCCAATCTATCAACATATGAAAACACATGTTTTAACTATCCAAATACATCAACATATGAAAACACATGTATCAACTATCCCAATCTATCATCATATGAAAACACATGTATTGAATATCCCAATCTGTCAACATATGAAAATACATGTTTTAACTATCCAAATACATCAACATATGAAAACACATGTATGAACTNAAACTATCCCAATTGTTCAATATACAAAAACACGTGTTTTAACTATCCAAATACATCAACATATGAAAACACATGTATTAACTATCCCAATCTGTCAACATATGAAAACACATGTTTTAACTATCCAAATACATCAACATACAAAAACACATGTATGAACTTTGCCAGTCTGTCGGCATACAAAACCCCATGTATGAACTATCGCAATCCATCAATATATGAAAACACTTGTATTAACTAATGCAATAAACTATCCTGATCAGTCAATTAACTAAAACAGTCAAAACGTATGTATACTACAACAAATCCATATAAAACAATAATTTATATATGTACTTGATAAACCATTACAATCCTGTAATTACAATTTCTAAGTATACTGTAGGGGAATCCCCTACACTTTTACCGTAAACAAACAACAAACGATATTTCAAAGGTTTATCAGATGTGAAGTCATCTTTAAAAATCAAAAATACATTATATTTGTCAGCATGACTATTTGTCAAATTCACCATCCGATTTGAAACCTGCAATATATAGCATATATAATATATATATATGGAGGAAAATCTGGTATCCAAATGATAAGATTCAGAACCATTATCTTCCTTCTTCTAATTTATTGTTGAGGCATAAAATAAAACAGTTATGGACCCAGTAATAAAATATTGACCCCGTCTTTGCTTCGGTCAATATCACGTTTTCAGGTTCATATCATAATAGATTCACAATCATTTTTAAAATTCCATAATTGTTCGATATTTCACAGAACTGCAGTCCATGTACCAGTTCCACTCTTAACCTACCTCTCTGAGAAACCTGCTGTCTGTAGCTGCCGGGAATATCTCTGTTTCTAGTTTCAGACCCCTGGAATGAAATAAGCATTAGATGAAAACAAGGACAAGTCAAAAAGCATCAGTAATGTACCTCTGCCCATGGTACACACAAAATGCCACAAATATGGCAGTTTGGAGTATAAAACAGTCTGGAAACAAGGTAAATGTAAATGTCATTCCTCAAGACACCTAAAGTGGATGAAAGAGAACTTGGCACATTTGATTTCATTTCGTTATTGCATCTTTTTTTTTACCTACATTTCAAATTTCCTGCCTGTCTTCTGTCTGAATCTGTTAATTGATTTTCAATGTAACAATGTTAAATGAAAGCTTTATCAAAGAGAGTAAAATATAATAGGCAAGGAAAATTAAGACAATTTACAACTGACATGGGCTCTATAGCTGATGTGTAGTCCTGAACACTTACATGTTCTCGCAGACAGAGCTGAACGTTTTCCACCAGGGTTGAGATTTATCTACTGGTGTAGTTTCTTGTATCATGCATTTCTGGGGGGAAAATCATAAAAAAAATTCAATTGGTTTAACTTTCCAAGAAAATCATCTAAAACTTTCTGCAAAATCACCAGAATTATCCTTTTTTTTTATAAGCAACGTAACATTCCAAAAATCAACAAATTGTGAATTAACATTCTGTCAGAAAGGCTACATAATTTTTTTTAAAATAACTTTGACACAATTTATAATGTAGATCACTTCTGTGAGATATTTGTTACTTTACTGGAAAGTTTCGTTCATTTTGTGAATTAAAATCTGAGTCAATTATGAGTTTGAAGTATATTTGTGAAAATATATACATTTTTTCAAGAAAATAAAAATTCATGAAAATATGTATTCATAAATATAAAGTGAATTACATTATATCATATCTTATGTAGGCAAAGAAGTGAAAGTGACATTGGAGACAAAGGATATGCTGCTATTACCTCTATGACTATATATCTAATTAAGTTTGGTTTGTTTGGTGTTTTGCGTCCTTTTAACAACTAGGGTCATTTAAGGACAACCAAAGTGTCTGGAGAAAAACTAATGAAGAACCATGACCTACGGCCAGTACCTGGCAACTGCCCCATGTAGGTCTTGAACCCAGGACCCAGTGTTGGAGGGCTAGCCTAGAGATCGAAGATGCCTAATGGTCAGATGCCTTTACCACTGGGCCACCATGGTCCAGGGCCCGCATTCATGAAACCATTCTTATGCCCAAGCATGGATTCTGTGCTCAAACCGGCTTTTTTGTATCTCACTTAAATCATATAAAACACTAAAAAAAGCAATTGTAAACAATGAAAACAGTTTTTGGCTTTTATTCTCTTCAATTTTCCCTCAAATCTTTGACAAAATATAATGTTTTTATTAACTTATAAATGAATCAAGAAATGAGGCATGAGCACAAAATCCATGCTTAAGCATGAGAACAGTTTCCTGAATACGGGCTCCGGTCTAGTTATAGTAATACTCATCCAGTGAACATTTTTTTGCTTGGATCCAGTGCCCATATTGGACCATACTTACGTAGTTGGCCGTGTAATTAGAGTTTTTCCATGATGGAAATCCATGTACCATGTCTCATATCACAATACAAAGATGTAGATACATATCAAGCCTCAGCATGATTGACCGCATTTCAACCTATTTTGCATAATTTTATTTTCCAGTTCCAATTATTTACCTCCTCTAAATCTTGTCTTATTGATTATTTGAAGTTTATACTTTCAGTACTGTATAAATCAAACTGTGATGCGCTGTTTTCAGTGGTATAGATAATTTTGAAATTGGTTCTGTATTAAGAAATTGGTATTTTGCCATAAGATGTTGGCTACACATATCAAAATAATAAATTTACAAGTGATGCAAGAAAATAACTCTATCATACATAAATTATATAGGTTAGAAATGGCCAACCCTTGTGTACATAATTTGGTTTCAAAAACCTTGCCAAAGCCTCAGATTCTGTACATTTCTATCCTACATCTGATAGATTCATATATATATATTATTACTTACGAATTCTTTATATACTGTATGGGTATATAAAATATTTTTGCAGTGACAAAGATCTCACCCATTATAAACTTAGATGTAAAAATCTGTTGTTTCAATTTATATAAAAAAATGCATAAGGCAACTGTCAATATCACTTAACTAATATATGCCAGAGTTTGATTAATGAGAGATTGGACAAATTTTCAAAAAATGTAGGGAGTGTCTTGTTGGCTGTATGTTACCATTCTTACCGATCCATGTTAAATGATAATGTGATGGTCATAAATGAGGAAATCACTGGATTTCCTACCTGGAGAAACTCATATGTAACATCGTCCCCTGCCTCAGCACACCAATTCTTTATCTTGTCTTCAAAGTGGTTGAGGTCCACAGTCGGTGCGATCCTGACGTCAAAACCTGTTAATGAATAGAAAGAATAAACCTTTTCTGGTAAAAAAAAATGCAATATTACAAGACAGAATTTGTCTTCTTCCTCAGTGGTTAGATCATTTTCACGTGGAGGTCGACGATATGCGATACAAGCTCGGTGTTACTATTTTTAGAATAAACATATTGCATTCTCTTTATGACCTCCCTTAGATTGTAACTTCACAATGCCCTCTGTCAAAATCAACACAATTTCCAATATAATACATACGTGTATAACAATTATGGCCTTTTTTAGGTGAAGATGCGGTTATATGTACCTGAAAAGTGCAGATACTGAATTTAACTTTGTTTTGGTTAATATCACTTTCAGGTTCATATAACCACATCTTCACCTAAAAAAGGCCATAATTGATAAATATTTTCAAACGAATATACTCTAGCAAACCCTCATAGTACTGGTATCTGTAGGAACATTTTGATCATTACATTGTATATTTGAATTTTCATTAGACAAGTTTAGGAGACATATAATAATAATAATATATACAACATTTGATATAGCGCCCTCCCTATCTAGCTAACATAAGCCACTCTAAAGCACTTTACAGTACACAGATATACAATTAATACAATGTGCATATACATTAATCAATACAATTTTAGAGGAATTTGCATGATCTGCCTTATCAGGCGCTTACTGCTAGTCATATGCCACCTGGCTAATATCTCCCTATGTGTGTATGCCTGCGTGTGTGCTGGAGATGTGTTATGTTCTGTTTGTAGTGGGACCGTGTTTCCAACGGCATCTTTTATAGTGTCACCTCACTTGAATGCAACAATACAGATACCGCAACATCAATCCCAGACCATTATATACTCCACCTGGGTTGTTGGAGTTGTGTGGGCAGGAGAAAATCACTTTCTCTGATAATCCATGTGTGCAACAACTTCGAGGATCGAACCCCGTCCGCCTGCGTGGAAGGCCGAAGTGTTACCACTCGACCAATCCGCCCACAATAAGACATATAAGACAATACAAGATTACAAGAAAAATCAATGTTACCTGCATACATTTCCATAGGAACAACGTTGAACTGTACACCTCCCTGCAATAATTAAGTACATCTCTTTAAACATTGATATCTTGACACCAAAAGGCTGCACATTAAGATACAGAACCTGTATTCAGTATTGTTAGGAACATTTCATTACATAAGGGCGATTTCATTTAAAAGAACGGGAAGAGTGGCACGGCAATTGTGGAGAAATCCAATTTGAAATCTAATCAAAAATTGAATTTCTCAATACAAAAATTGACATCATCCCATTTTTCATGACAGAATGTATGTTATGTTTGTTGCCCCATTTTCTGTGAGGACAGAAGGAGTAATGCTAACGTAAGTTGAGGACAGAAGGCATGACACTGACGTAAGTTGAGGACAGAAGGCATGACACTGACGTAAGTTGAGGACAGAAGGCATGACACTGACGTAACCTGAGGACAGAAGGAGTAAAGCTGACGTAACTTGAGGACAGAAGGAGTAATGCTGACGTAACTTGAGGACAGATGGAGTAATGCTGATGTACCTTGAGGACAGAAGGAGTAATGCTGACGTAACTTGAGGACAGAGGGAGTAATGCGGACGTAACTTGAGGACAGAAGGAGTAAAGCTGATGTAACTTGAGGACAGAAGGCATGACACTGACGTAACCTGAGGACAGAAGGAGTAATGCTGACGTAACTTGAGGACAGAAGGTGTAATGCTGACGTAACTTGAGGCCAGAAGGCATGACACTGATGTATCTTGAGGACAGAAGGAGGAATGCTGACGAAATTTGAGGGCAGAAGGGGTAATGCTGACGTAACTTGCGGATAGAAGGAGTAATGCTGAGATAACTTGAGGACAGAAGCAGTAATACTGATATAACTTGAGGATAGAAGGAGGAATGCTGACGTAACTTGCGGATAGAAGGAGAAATGCTGACGAAATTTGAGGGCAAAAGGAGTAATGCTGACGGAACTTGTGGACAGAAGGAGTAATGTTGACGTAACTTGAGGACAGAAGTAGTAATGCTGACATAACTTTAGGACAGAAGGAGTAATGTTGACATAACTTGAGGACAGAGGGAGTAATGCGGACATAACTTGAGGACAGAAGCAGTAATACTGATATAACTTGAGGATAGAAGGCATGACACTGACATAACTTGAGGACAGAAGCAGTAATACTGATATAACTTGAGGATAGAAGGAGAAATGCTGACATAACTTGAGGACAGAAGGAGCAATGCTGACGCAACTTAAGGACAGAAGGCATGACCCTGACGTAACCTGAGGACAGAAGCAGTAATGCTGATGTAACTTGAGGATAAAAGGAGTAATGCTGACGTAACTTGAGGACAGAAGGAGTAATGCTGACGTAACTTAAGGACAGAAGGAGTAATGCTGACGAAATTTGAGGGCAGAAGGAGTAATGCTGACGTAACTTGAGGATAGAAGGAGTAATGCTGACATAACTTGAGGGCAGATGGAGTAATGCTGACGTAACTTGAGGACAGAAGGAGTAATGCTGACATAACTTGAGGACAGAAGGAGTAATGCTGACGTAACATGAGGAAAGAAGGAGTAACAGAAGGAGTAATGCTGACGTAACTTGAGGATAGAAGGAGTAATGTTGACATAACTTGAGGACAGAGGGAGTAATGCTGACATAACTTGAGGGCAGATGGAGTAATGCTGACGTAACTTGAGGGCAGATGGAGTAATGCTGACGTAACTTGAGGACAGAAGGAGCAATGCTGACGTAACTTGAGGATAGAAGGAGTAATGCTGACGTAACTTGAGGCCAGAAGGAGTAATGCTGACATAACTTGAGGGCAGATGGAGTAATGCTGACGTAACTTGAGGGCAGATAGGGTAATGCTGACGTAACTTGAGGACAGAAGGAGCAATGCTGACGTAACTTGAGGATAGAAGGAGTAATGTTGACATAACTTGAGGACAGAGGGAGAAATGCTGACATAACTTGAGGGCAGATGGAGTAATGCTGACGTAACTTGAGGGCAGATAGGGTAATGCTGACGTAACTTGAGGACAGAAGGAGCAATGCTGACGTAACTTGAGGATAGAAGGAGTAATGCTGACATAACTTGAGGATAGAAGGAGTAATGCTGACGTAACTTGAGGCCAGAAGGAGTAATGCTGACATAACTTGAGGGCAGATGGAGTAATGGTGACGTAACTTGAGGGCAGATGGAGTAATGCTGACGTAACTTGAGGCCAGAAGGAGTAATGCTGACATAACTTGAGGGCAGATGGAGTAATGCTGACGTAACTTGAGGCCAGAAGGAGTAATGCTGACATAACTTGAGGGCAGATGGAGTAATGCTGACGTAACTTGAGGCCAGAAGGAGTAATGCTGACATAACTTGAGGGCAGATGGAGTAATGGTGACGTAACTTGAGGGCAGATGGAGTAATGCTGACGTAACTTGAGGCCAGAAGGAGTAATGCTGACATAACTTGAGGGCAGATGGAGTAATGGTGACGTAACTTGAGGGCAGATGGAGTAATGCTGACGTAACTTGAGGCCAGAAGGAGTAATGCTGACATAACTTGAGGGCAGATGGAGTAATGCTGACGTAACTTGAGGACAGAAGGAGCAATGCTGACGTAACTTGAGGATAGAAGGAGTAATGTTGACATAACTTGAGGACAGAAGGAGTAATGCTGACGTAACGTGAGGATAGAAGGAGTAATGCTGACGTAACCTATCTACAGACTGACCTGGACGTTGGTGAGGTTCACTGTTGTCACATCTCCCAGCTTGAGGCAGGCATTCCCATTTAATCTGAAATAAATATACAATGATACAAAACCCTTTTATTAAAGTTCATCTCGAGTTGTCGTGTAAAAACATTGATATAAGGAACCCCAGCAGACACAAGGAGTTAGTGCTCTATACAGTGAAGCTTGGTTGAAACAAAAGATGCAAGATATTAGTTTCAGAGTAAAATATGGTTATAAGAAACCCAAGGGGACTTTATTAATTATTTCTCTGCAGTAAAACACCAGTTATAACAAACCCCAAGGGAAATGAATAGTGAGTTGTGTTACAAGCATTACTTGCTTCAAGGTTCTTGAGATAAATCCTAGTAAGATTTTTTTCTAAAATGCAGAAAATCACCCCAAAAAAGATGTGAAATTTCAATAAGGAATGTTACTCACTTTTTCTCCTCTTTTGCCCGGAAATCTAAGAAACTGTTAATGATTCTTCTCTATATTACAAAGAAAATTTATGTTCAAAATTACCATCAAATACTGTTGATGGGATAAACAGTGTGGCATAAATGTTTTATTTAAATCCATGCATTTTCAATAAACACATCAATATATAATGAAATAACAAATATGTGGGTTGTTTTTCAAAGATGAAAATATCAGTACACATGTATACTAATAACATATTTAGCAGCAATCTCTCTCTTTTGATGAATTCATGTGTATACATATAGAAATGATTTTATCAATATTTGGGTTTTCTACATAATTTTTATCTGTATTATACATATACCCGTGGTATAACCCAACAACTTCATGTTGAAGCTGGACCTGCAAATGCTGCAAAAATATATTGTCAATACAAAATCTGTATTTAGTTCAAGTCCATCAACTGCTGTGATATCCATTTGTACATGAGGAGTGGTGACGCACTCAAACACCTATTACACAGGGCTTATTATCAATGACACAAAAAAACTCATTTACTTACAAACTTCTCAGCAGCAGTGTCCTCAATGAACCTTGACCCATGACCTGGTTTCCCGGGACATTTGACCCTGACCCCTGGAGGATGAAAACATATGCCACTTCATATTTATATTGTTACAGAATATTGGATCATAACATTGACTTATCTCCTCACAGTATCACAGTGGTACTTTTATAATATTAAAATTACAATAATAGTTTGGTATACATATACATATGTACTGTTGTAGCAGAACTGGACTGGGTCGATTGGGATAGCATCCATCTAGAGTTCTGAGGGCCCCAGTTTGAATCCCAGTCTGGCCGTGCATTTTCCCACTCCTTTTACAACCAACAACCGTTCCTGTTACAAAGGTTTGCGCGTGTGACCAACCCTTGTTTAAAGTACTCATGAGTGAATGCTTGGGAAGATAAACCCGAACCTGGGTTATAAAAAGTGTTGTCTTCGGGGGCAAAGACTAAGAAAAAGGAGGGAGGAAAGTAGCGGAACTGGACTGGGTTGAACCCTGTCAACCAGGTATCTCAAATAGTAGATCATCGGTCTAGAGTTTGGAAGGTTCCGGGTTCGAATCTCAGTCTGGCTTCGCATTTTCCCACTCCTTTTACACTTTAAATGGACTTGTATATCCATGCACCATTGGCAATTTCCAAATTACACTAACCCTGGTTTATAACAGTTCTACTGCTGGTCAATAATTCCAAAGAAACAAATGGCATGACAATTATCAAACTATGTAACTCCAACTCTATAGTGTAAGGGAGATAAATCACATCATTTATACTGATTCCAGCATAAAATTAACTAAAATACTTTTTTCTTGTTATATATGTTTCCTGTGAATACTGCACTGCAACTATCATTTTTTCCTGGGGTCGTAATTGTTGTTGTCACTATTTCTTTTATAAAAAATACAACCTGCAAAATTAATAGCAGATTACTGAAGCAGTATACGCCGTAGTCTCTACCCTAAAATCTGCATAAAATGGTACACACAAAAATTTACAGTATCCAAATACATTCTTCTTTATGTGATAGAAAGGATCTCCTATGAAATGGACATTATTTTTAGATCCAAAAATAAAATTCAATCAGTTTCCCATCTCCGACATGAACCAGACATAAAATATATTAGTACATGTACTTACACCATGGAGCCCTCTCTCCATAGAAAACAGTGAAGGCATCAGTAGGGTTGGCTAAGCCTGAAAAAACACACAGCAAATGTACTCATACTAGCTGGTTTTATTTACAAATTAAAATGAACCAGAATGGGACTTTTAGCCTTTCAGGTGGTTAGAATTGCCTACAAACACTAATTCATGTGATAGTACTATTTAAGACTAGATTGTCATGTTTCGATATTTGTCTTCATTCAACTTGTCGACATACAGATGAAGGTTGAGTGCTCTGATCAACTTAGGATCATACTTACATGTACTGAACTGAACTTCACACATTTGCCAATTCTACACTTTTATATAAATTTTGCAATACAATGTTGAAGTAGATTTATAAGGTTATCACTCCCAACACATACAGCAATATTCCGAACAGTGCATGCAAGATGTCTAATCTTCAAATTGTGCATATGAAAAATTGTCAACCACCACCTTACCAATAGATTTAAGTAAAATTAGACAATTGTTTGTGTATGAGTATTCTTTATCATGTTGATCAAAAGAAAATTTCACCACAAGGCTTGTGGCCGATGGAATCCTTCTGCACTGTGACATTAGTGGGATTACCTCGGTTATCTTCATCAGTCAATTATTTCCTTTTGTAAGAAAGAAAGTTACTTCTGATTTTCAGAAAATATTCAAAAACGTTTGAAAATCTACCTTAATTATAATGAATACTCCACATTAGTTTACCTTCATCAAAGGCAAATCCAACGTTTAGTTTGGTGAACTCTTCGTGTACCACAAACTTTGCCATGCCAAGTATACCACCAATTTCTTCATCTACAAATAATATACAACAAAACGATTGTCAATAGAAAACATTGACATGTTCATAGACATTCACGGTTCTGTACACTCATGTCCAATAAATATATGGTTTGCACAGACTTTCGTAGTGAGCCAGCATGATATAACATGAAAACAAGTGGAAATCATACCGTAGAGTAGACAATTCTGCATAAGTTAACATATATCTGTACCTTATTTTGTAATTATGTTGAATCTGTATATTCCAAATTAATATAAACTAAAGCTGAGACAAACAGCTGATAAAGGCTACATTGCTGTAGTAAGCACCCTTCCCACTATAAGCACTCTACCTGATACTTAGTCATATTATATAAATGCTTCCCAACCTTCTTTCCTGGCCTGCCTCTCTAAATGAATTGAATATATTTCAAATATTAGAATGCAGAAGGTAGATCATCCCAGAAATCCCCAGTTAGGTTAGCAGGTAAGGTAGTAAGGTCACCTATACACATCAAACCCTATATCTCATCACGATCACTCCCCCATTCCTGAGTGTCCTCGGCAGAAATTATTGTAAACAAGAGGCCCAGAGGGCCTGTATCGCTCACCTGGCTACCTTAGCAATCATGGCAAAATATTCTCCAAATGAGATCAAGGGAATATGCCAGACCCCAAGGCCAATCCTTGTAGCATAACTGTATTAGATTTTGTCATGCCCAGCAATTTTATGTATGGTTATGGGGTGGGGATCTCAACTGTTTCCAAGCTTTGACTCAGAAACTAGGTCCCTAGGGTTGTGGCCAGACCCCAGGATCAATTCTAATATCGTGACTGCATTTGTCTCTTTTTGCCCAGCATTTGTATATATAGTTTTGGGGTGGGGATCTCAACCGTTTCAAAGTTATGACCCAGGGGTTAAGTCTGCAAAGGTGGGGCAGACCCTGGGGTCAATTCTAATATCATGACTGCATTCGTCTCTTTATGCCCAACAATTGTATATATAGTTTTGGGGT